TTTTTTTTAATTTGAATTAGAAACAAGATTGTTTTACATGTCAATCCCAGTTTCCACTCCCTCCCCTCCTCACCAATACCTGCCAACCCTCCCCACACAACTAAAACCCTACCTATCACATATCCTCTCTGCTCCCCCTGGGAGTATATAAATCTTATGGGTTATCTACTAGAGTGAGAAAGAGAAGGGATCTCACAAATGTCCACATATTCTCTCATCTCTAATCCTAAAACAAAAGATCCATAACCACAACCTTTAAATTTAAACATTAAACATTGTAATTCGAGTAACAAGCTGTTAAACATAGCATGCTCTACTGTCTTACATTTGCATCTGTACCTCCTCTTCTAGACTGGAAGGCTAAATTTGAATTTGGTGTTGTTAGATTCCAGTGCTGCAGAGAAAAAGTATGTCATTGGGCCACCCTCCCCTGTTTCCCTTCCCAGCTTCATCTCCCATTTCAGGAGCCTGGTGCACACGCATCTGAAAATCCCAACCCACATGTCCAAATTCTGGCCCTGGACACATAGTCTGTGCCATGGAGTAAGCACCTGGAGTGCAGACCCATGCAGTTGCTAAGGTAGTTGTGGGGTTAGTGAGTCCAGGGATTCTAGTACCAGATCTAGAGAGAAAAGAAGAGAAGATGCATTCTCTAGAGAGATGGCTCCAGGTGGGCATGCCCTTGACCCAGGGCACTTCTGGTCCTATGGAGAGAAGCAATTAAAGGAAAGACACCAGGACCCTCCAGAGCTTTGAGATAAAATCCATCTTCCTTGGGGATGGGGGCAAAAGTCAGCAATGCAATTGACACCAGTGTTCATGATCTTTGCTGTTCCTACACTGATCGCCTGGTTTCTCTGTGTGTACATGTTTATTTTTCCTAGTGGGCTGTTTATCACCATTCATGACAAGGGCCACCTTGCAACAATGCTGAATTCTTGGCCAGAGGACAATATTAAGGTATGATCGTGTTTTTATTGCTATTGTCCTGTTTGTCGGAGGAATTGTTGCCACCTGTATTTGGTGTTATTTCTATGTATGAAATGAGTCATTATGATTTCGAAGGCAAAATACTTCCCCCTTTTTCCAGGCCCTGATCACATACCAGCTATAGCCACCACAAATGCACCATAAAAGAGAGATTTGCCTTAACTACATATCTAGGTAAAGTTACTCTTAATTAACATTGACCTAAAGAAATGTTCAGCATGTGTTAGGTACCTGTTGAGTGCACTGTGCCAGTCTCCTTGTGGATAGATGTAGACAGAAATCAAGCGTAGACCTCTCCTGGAGTAATGAACACTTCATGATGAAAACAGGACAGTAACACAACAGACTAGCCAGGCAAAACATGATCAGAGCTAAGCGAACCACACAGAAAGAGCTATGGGTGATCACAGAGGTAGGACTTTCATCTCAGAGAACTTTGAGGTGACATCATAGGGAAATGACTTTGGATCTGGGCCTTAGATTAAGGGTTATGAAAATATAGGTACTTTGAGGTGACATCATAGGGAAATGACTTTGGATCTGGGCCTTAGATTGAGGGTTATGAAAATATAGGTGAGGACCTTCTTCATGAAAGTTTATGGTGAGCAAACTTGGGTAGTTGTGCCCCAGGTGGCAGAGGATAGAGTATATGTGCAGAGTGACAAAGTAAAACTGTCACTGCTTCCCAAATATCAAGTCTCCTTAAAACATTTCAAGATAAAAGGATGAGATGACAGTATGGAATGCAAACTGTGCTCCATACGGAGGAGTGTGAGGGACCTGGCATCTGAGGCAATTATCTTTTCTGGTAAGTGAAACTGATGGCTCCTTAGTGAGGGGACTTCCAGCCCTGGAGTCACAGTACTGGAGCTAAACACAGTGTAACCCTGGGGCCAGTTGTTCACTTTACCTTGGCTCCCTTGACAGGCTGTGAATCTCTACTGTTTTCTCTGCAGGGTACCGCTCCCTCCACCCCTGCTAGTTCTCTGAGCCCAATCCTCACCAGAAGGTACCAAATAGAGCCTCTATTGGTTTCCCACCCAAATGAGGCTCTCTCTAGGCAGTGTGAGCATTTAGAACAAGAGTAGAAAAGGGTTAGAACCTCGACTCTCTGCTGCCAGGTCTCAGCTATAGCCAAAGTTCAGTACTGCCCACGGAGGATAATTCATCCTCACATCTCCATCTGGGTGTGACTTTGCCCTGTGCTTATCCATCCGCCTGGACTCCAGGTATGTGTAAGGCTTTGGCCTTGAAAGTTTTGGCCTCTGTCCCAGGGAAACATGTTTTCAGGGTGTGTCTAGGATGAAACTCTAGTAAAATATTGAGGACATTGAGGGAGGCCAGCTCACTTAGTGGGGAGTTAAGTTTAGGCTAACCTGAGTGGGCACAATGCTGAGGTCCTGCCCACTAATCTCTTCCACATGCCCTAGACAGATCAACCATGGAGAAACCTTGTACACCAACAGACAGACCCTCAGCAGATGTTCAGAGCTGTGAATAAACCCAGTCAACAGATACATTAAGCATCTTCTGTGTGCCAGGCACTGTGCCAGGAATAGAGATAATGCATACAGTACTTTAGACAAATTGTGAGCAATTAGAACAACTAAAAGAAATTCTTCTTCTACTGGAAGTAAAAAGGTACCTCTTCCTCCAGGCTGGCACAGTTGTTTCCTTGGCCGGGTATAATATGTATGACTATTATCAGGTCCTCCTGCAAGAATTCCAAAATGAAATGAAAGGCACCTTGTCTCCAGATTCTTCCTGTAATGGTTGAAAACCAAGGGTATAAATTCAAACCATGGGAGCTAAGTGACTATTGAATTTTGAGACCCTTCTCAATACTGACTACCAGAGAGGTAGTGACAATGACTAAAGGAACAGGAACAGGGACTTTAGACACTCTAGAGGGAGAGAATGTAAGGAGACCTCTGAGAAGGGTATAAGATGCTGATCCAGGCTGGTGGATGCCATCTAACTCAGTAGCATTTGAGCACCCTTCAGTAAGCATCTCCTCTGAGGGAGCTCCCTGGAGCCCTGTGATAAAGATGTGCAGGACCAACTTCAAGGAGCTCGCACTCTGCTTAGATGGGCTTACCTGGAAACAAGGGCAGAATACTATGCCTCTGCTACCAAAGAGAGGAACTTACAGGGCAAGGTGCAGACAGGGCACAAGCCACCTAGCCTCCCTCCCCTTGAGGGTCCAAAGGGGACAGCCTGGGACAACCCCCATCCTTTATTTCTGTCTCACTTTAGAGAGGTTCCGGTGACCATATAGAGAAAACAGCCCTGATTTTGTAAGCAGACACACAGGGCTTCTGACTATGAATCTTCCCCTTGCCTGTTGTATTTGCACGTAGACTTTTTGAGCTTTCCATTCCTGTTGCTTCTGACTATGAATCTTCCCCTTGCCTGTTGTATTTGCACGTAGACTTTCTGAGCTTTCCATTCCTCCTGGATTGATCATGATAAAGCCTGTGAACACTGAAGAGCACACAAATGAACATTGTTCTGGTAGGAGATGTTGGAAGCAATTATAGCATCTGTGGCTATGCAGGGCCAATGGGCAGCCATGGAAACAGGTTTCTTCTGAGAATCTGATGCCACAAATGGTAGTCATATGCCTTGTATCCAGATATACTTGGTTTGGCCCTCAGTGCCTATTAAAATTTTTTAATTTATAGGCTGTATCTTGAAAGCATATTTCATTTAAAACAATAAATACAAAAGCACTTGGATTTTTTACTTCTCTGGAAAAACTAGGCACTCTGAATATAGAGCCTGTATCATGGTGTATAAACAAATAGCTAACTGGACTTTCCCTAACCCACCCCACACTCTACCCTGCCCCACTCTCCAACCTTCCATTGAAGGTTTCCTCCCTTGTCACCCAAGGTGCCCTTTCAGAAGTTCAGAACATTCTGAGCAGCAGTCTTCCTTGTTCCCTAAAAATGAGAGAGCAAAGATCTCTCCAATTCTACAGGGATCTCTGCTCATCACCCCTTCAGAGCTCATACAGGGCATCTTTACAGGCACTTAGGTCAAAGCTCAGGAAGGATTCCTTCTGAAAGCCCCAAGCTGGACCCTGAAGGATGGATAGGAGGAGGGGACATTGCTGAGAGGAGCATGCCAGGGTCAAGTGGACATTGCTGAGAGGAGCATACAAGGAACATACTAGGTCACTCACAGGTGAGCGCTGGTGTCTAAACTACATCTCCGTGCTGAGTTCCACCCCATCCCACCCCCCAGAAGCTGATTCAGAGAGTCAGTTTCTCAATGAGGCCTAGGAAGTCTTTAGAACCTAGTGTTGCTAGCTGTTTGGCTACAGAGGAGGGTTAATTTCAGAGGACCTTCTAAATCAATTCGGAAGATGAAAAATGAACTTTCTGTGGTTTCCCAGCTAGAAGTCCAGGAAACTGAAATGCAGGAGAAGATAACTATGAGGAACCCATGGCTCAAGGCCAGTACTACCGAAGCTTTGGGGCCTTTCTTCTTCAGGGAGGAGAAAGCTGTCCAGTGTAAATCATGCAAAGGAGTGAGAACCGCTGTTCTGTCTCCTTCCCAGACTGCCCATTGCCTCCAGCAGGAGATAGGCTCAACCGAGAACGTCTCTCCCTGTCAACTCCCCAGACTCCTAAATATCTCTCCCAACCCAGTACCAAGACTTCTGAGGAAAGAGAGCTCTGGGTGGTGGAACCAAAACAGCAGCCTCCACCTCTAGGCACCACATAGGTGCTAAAACATGGTCCAGAATGCTAGAGCCATGTGCCTATCTATCATGCATGGGCCCAGGGTGTAGTGAACACCTTCTGTGTAGGTGTCAGAGACAGGACTTCCTGAAAATCTCTGAGACAGAGATTAACTTGTCAGGAAGGGCTCTTGGTTCAATATCTATTCACCAGAAGGAGGTGGGGGCAGAGCTGAGGACCACAGGTTGCCTGTACTAAGGTCTAGAGGAAGATTCAGTGAAGGCTATGAGGCAGGTTCAGAGCTAGGATGGTTTAGGCAGAAGCATGTGGTGGTGGTGGTGGGGTTGTCTTTTGTATGCCTGGTGTGATCAGTCGTTGGCTGTAGGCTGATCTTGGAAAGAGGTGTGGCTTCTGTGCAAGGTGGCTCAGGTAAAGAAAATTCTCCAGATAGGTTGGTGGCTAAGAGCAACAATAGGGAAGAAACTCCCAACAGTCTTGGGCAGACATTACCAACCCCTTCATGCAGTATTATACAAATGCTTTACGCAGACTGACTCAATGAATTCTATTGACAACCACGGGGCTTCTTATTATCTTTGTTCTAGAGACAAGGAATCTGAGAGGTGAGGCTCTTTGTGAGGAGTGGAATCAAGATTTGAAACTAAGGGATGTGTGTTATTTATGTTATGAAGTAGGGGGAAGGAAGGGGAATGAAAACATGATGGGTGAAACAAAAGGTAGAGGAAAGGTGATTTGAGAACTTTTGCAGGCGGCCCATCCATAATCAAACTAACAAATCTAAAACAACCCAAGAGCAGTCCAGGACTCAATCTTCCAGTCAGCCTTTGGTTAGTTAAGCTAAGGGCCATACCCAACAAGTCAGAAAAGGTCGTAGGTCTGAGGAAGGCTGGCAAGAAAGAACATAGCATACCGTTCTTCAAACCTCTCTATTTGTCTAAGAAACGAGGGATGCCATAGCTTTCCCAACATCCAAATAAAGAAATTGGAGTTCTGTCATTCCAGAAATTGTTGCTGGCTTTTCAAACCCAAAGACACTGCCCAGACTTTCCCTAAGTCCTTGGCAACCCACTGAACTAGTAAAGTGGTTCCCAGCATTAATTGGATTGCTTTTGGGAACAATGAGAGGCAACATCTTCTCTCTGAACTTAACTATCCTGGCTTTGAATCCTGTCCAGCCGAGAAGCACTTTCTGCACTATTGGAGCTGTAGTTTGCCTGGCTAATTGAGTGTGTGTCACATCGCTGGCCTCAGAGCCAACAT